CTCCCTCCCTCCCTCTCTCCCTAAAACTGAGTTATGGGATTTAAAAACATCTACAAACCTAGACAGTTGGTAAAGTGGGGACAGTTGCTTAGTGTCACAGTCACCATGATTTTGCTGATGCTGTTTTATGCCCCTTTCATTTTTCTTTCTCATTGTAGTATTTTAGAGCCCGTTCCAGACACTGTATGATTTCATGAAATCTTGTTGGCCTCTCAGCTATTCCGATCCCAGAGGCCCGCGGGGCCCCCGTTCTCCTTGAGTCTTTACAGTGCTGATGATCCTGCTCATGTCACTCTCTCACCATGTTTCAGACGGACCTAGTCCTTCTCCTGCTACTCTGATTGTTCCCATGTTCCTTTGCTGGTTTTCTTCCTTCTTCCAACTGTGACCACTTCTCAAGGCTTTGTCTGGTAAATATGTTACCAAGAATTTACTGTCCTTTCTGCATTTCATTAAGGGGGAAAAAAAGCTTGCAAACATTCAGAGAACTTTTGTTCACTGAGGCTTTGTGCTTTGGAAATGCCATTTGGTGGTTTTGCTGCTTTTAATCTTTGGCATTAATTTCAGTTGCTGTCGTTTGTTCCATTAAAAAGAATCCAGACCTAAGCCAGAAAAATAATTAAATTGGTCTGCAAAGGGAAAACAAACAGTACAGTATTTCAACAAGTCACAAATACATGTTTATTATTCACCTAAAAAAATGTTAATTTAAGACTCTTCACACAATGTCTTTTATTTAAAGATGTAACATAAATCAAACCTGTAATGAGATACCTAATTTGTTTTCCTTTTTCCATTCTAGAATGTATGACAACATGTCCACAATGGTGTATATAAAGGAAGACAAGTTGGAGAAGCTTACACAGGATGAGATTATTTCTAAGACAAAGCAAGTGATTCAGGGGCTGGAAGCTCTGAAGAACGAGCATAATTCCATTTTACAAAGTTTACTGGAAACACTGAAGTGTTTGAAGAAAGATGATGAAAGTAATCTGGTGGAGGAGAAATCAAACATGATCCGGAAGTCACTGGAAATGCTGGAGCTTGGCCTGAGTGAGGCACAGGTATACGTGAGGTCGCCTCAGACAGGAACATGCAGTTGACAGTCTGGAGAAATGGAGACTTCATCTGAAATACGTAGTTTAATTAAACTAGAGGGAAGATACTTACAGAATAACAGAGATCAGCTTGTATGTAATATAAATGATGATTGATTTGGGTACGTCTAAGTTTTAACAAGCAGAGGCAGTAAAATAGAGGTAACCCTGTTTGTCATTTAGAATTTGATTTTGGCTGCATATGTCATAAATGAAAACAGTGGCTTAAACATCACAGACATGTATAAGAGAAATACCAAGGTAGGCCGCCCCAGACAGGTTGTGTAGCTGCACAGTCCTCAGGGATGCCCAGGCCTCTGCATTGTGCTGCACGCAGCTTTTTTTGTGGAGTCGGAGCTGCAACCTTTTATGGAGTCCAGCTGCAGCCACATGACCACATTCTAGGGTAGGGAAGGGACAGGAAGGGTGTGCCTCCTCCCTTTACTTCCTCCAGCTGGTACACAGCATTGCTTACATTTCTTTGGCCACACCTTGTTTCATGGCCACACATAGTTGTGAGGGAGACTGGGGAATGCTGCCCTGCCCACTTACATTTCCACCTTCTTAAGCCTAAGAAAGAAGGGAGAATGGATATTGTCAACAGCTAATAGTCTCTGCAGTACCCTAAGACAAGATTGCTAAACCTTTGTGGGTTTGTTTTTTAAGTGCTTGAATTTATTTATTTTTGAGAGGGAGAGGGCAGCGGAGGGGCAGAGAGAGGACAGTGGACGCCAAGGGAGCTCTGTGCTGATAGAGAGTTCCACGTGGGCCTCAAACTCACAAACTCACAAACTCACAAACCGTGGCACCCAGGTGCCCCTAAACCTTTGTTTTTTTTTTTGTTTTTTTTTTAAATGTTTCTTTATTTTTGAGACAGAGACAGAGCATGAACAGGGGAGGGTCAGAGAGAGAGGGAGACACAGAATCGGAAGCAGGCTCCAGGCTCTGAGCTGTCAGCACAGAGCCCGACACGGGGCTCGAACTCACAGACCGTGAGATCATGACCTGAGCCGAAGTTGGAAGCTCAACCGACTGAGCCACCCACGTGCCCCTAAACCTTTGTTTTTTGACTAAACCTTTGTTTTTATCATGCTGGACATACAGGTGAAAAATTAGAAACAGCTAGGTGGTAACTGTTCCCCTGATAACTGTTGGCTCTGCCAGCACATTTCAGGTACATTTACATACGCTGAAATTTGGCCTCTCTTTTTCTTGGGTTTCCTCTTGTGCGGTGAATGAAGAAAGAAGTGGGGCCTGCTAGGTTCCTAAGTCCCACATCCATGAAGAGGACACTGTTCTATTCCACAGAGACTATCCATACCCTCATTCTAGAGTTTTTCATTCCCACTGTGTGAAAGACTAATTGTGGAACTGTGACTGTGTTTGCTTATTGTGAATCTGTTATAAGGCAAATTCTGTTGAAAAGTGATATGAATATGGACTTCCTTTTTAGTTTGGCAAGTACTAGGGTTAAGAACAAAGGAGAAAAAAGCCTTACTTTCTGGAGTTCAGGTTTGAAACTAGGAGGATGGTAGAGGGAAAGGCAGTTGCATGGTCTAAAGACAGAACGCACTGGGGCCAACTTTTCCCAGCTCACTCTGCGCGTATACTTCTAGGAGCTTGCTAATGCCTCAGGCAGGTCTGTCCCTGAAACTAATCAGTGTACCACAGGCAGAGCCCTGGGGCCGTCACCAGATTTTACAGCCTGGACTTAAGCTTATGAATGCAAAGTACATTCTGACAGCCTGGCGAGCTACAAAGATTTCTTCCCTTACCTTGGAACATCAGAGATTTGTCTGCCCGCCCTTCTCTAGCTCCGTCACCAGCCCCTCCCTGAGTGACCCCCGTACACATATGCCTGCTTGGGCACACACTCTCAGATGTGGAAAAGGGTCTCTGAGAAATTACGTTGGAGCCACTTAGATGGAAAGTAGAAAAGTAACAGTTTTGTCAGAAGAGTTAGCTGTGTGTCCATTGCTAGTCTATTTGAGATGCTGTCAAGCGGCAGAGCAGCGTGGGGTTCCCGTAGATGTTTTGAGCACGCGCCCCTGTGTACGTGGGACCGAGGGTGGGAAGGGAAGTGAGCAGCAGTGGTGCTTGTCTGTGTCGCAGCGCATCCCCGCCCGCGTGAGGAGAGCAGGCACAGAGTGTGCGTGGGCGGGAGGGGGACGTGTGGGCTGGACCCTGCAGTGCTGTCAGCGCTTCTGTCTGTCCAGGTTATGATGGCTCTGTCCAATCACCTGAATGCTGTCGAGTCTGAGAAACAGAAGCTGCGGGCACAGGTTCGTCGCCTGTGCCAGGAGAATCAGTGGCTGCGGGATGAATTGGCCAACACGCAGCAGAAATTACAGAAGAGTGAGCAGTCTGTGGCTCAGCTGGAGGAAGAAAAGAAGCATCTGGAATTCATGAATCAGTTAAAAAAATACGATGATGACATCTCTCCATCCGTAAGTGGTTCGGAAGGAATGCAGTATTGACAGTTAACCCTGCTGTAGTCAGTCGGTTATTTTAGTAAAGCCGTCGGTGTTTTCCGCCCCCGCTTTAGTGGTTGCGTGTAGCAAGACCAGAGATTCTAACTTTTGGGACTTAGTCCCTGGGCAAGTCATGGAGGTTCTCCTTGCCATGTGCTTTTCATATATGTGTTTGCAAGTTCTTTTTTTTTTAAGTTTATTTTTGAAAGAGAGAGAGAGCACATGCGCATGAACGAGGGAGGGACAGAGACAGAGAGAGAAAGAGAGAATGAATGAATGAGTGAATCTATCCCAAGCAGGATCCAGACTGTCAGTGCAGAGCCCGACGTGGGGCTTGATCTCAGGACCTATGAGATCATGACCTGAGCCGAAATCAAGAGTTGGACACTCAACCGGCTGAGCCCCCTGGGTGCCCCTCATGTGTGTTTTAGAACAGTGGTCAGAAACGTAAGAATACTTTGTAAATGTGAGGCACGATGCACAGAGGCACTTGACAAGGTTTGTCCCGGCTGGAGATCTCTTGGACATTTTAACCCATGGGGTCTGGCTTCCACACCCAGCGCACTGCTGGAGCTCTCTCAGGTCAGCGTGGGTCCCACGCAGTCATTTGTCATCTAGCCTTGTAATCTGTAACTAAGTCTGTGGCCTGTGGTGCTGTGGGTCTTGACTTTCTCTTTGAGACTCTCTTCCCCCTGCTCCCAGGACACCACCTGGGTCTCCTGCTCCCTCACTCCTGCTTCCTTCTTGCCTACTTCTGCTGGGAATGTTAGGGTTCACCAGGGATTTTGCTTTTCTCCTTTTTTGTTGATTCTCTTTGGTGGTTCATCTCAGTCTTGATTATTTTCCACCCACCATTTTTATCTGTTCAGTTAACAACTTTAAAAGAAATTTTGGACTAATTTCATTATTATTTTTATTATTAATTACTTTTTAAATGTTTGAGACAGCGTGCACGTGCACAAGCAGGGAGGGAAAGAGAGATAGAAAAACAAAGCAGATGCCAGGCTCCAAGCTGTCAGTGCAGAGCCCAACGTGGGGCTTGAACCCACAAACTGTAAGATCACGACCTGAGCTGAAATCAGATGCCTAACCGACTGAGCCACCCAGCCACCCTGTAGTAATTTTAGATTCACAGAAAAGTTGAAAAGATAGTGAAGAGAATTCCCATGTATCCTTTACTCAGTTTCCCCTAATGTCACATCTCCCGTCACCACGGTGCATGTCTTCATCCACTCTGGCCACTCTGATGGAATACCATAGGCCGCATGACTTATTTCTCCTGATTCCGAGATCAGGGTGTCAGCGGTCGGGTGCTTGGCGAGGGCCTTTTTCCTGGCTGTGTCCTCACATGGCCTCCCTTCGTGCGTGGGTAGAGGAAGAGAGCGAGAGGGCAGTCTAGCGTCTTTTCCTTTTTCCTCTTTGTGTGAGGAAGGACACCAGTCCTGTCATGACGGCCCCATCCTCATGACTTCATCTAACCCACGTTGCCTCTGAAAGGCCCCTTCTCCACGCGCCATCATGTTGAAGGTTAGGGCTTTAGTAGAGGATTTGGGAGGGGGCGGGGGCACATCAGTCCACAGCACCCCATTTGATTAGGCTTGCCGTATTGCTCCCTTGTGGAGTAACTGAACGTTTTGCTGGAAGAGAAGCACTGCTATACACTGCTGTTGGAATGAGAATAAATGGAGATGCTGAAGCCAGCCAGCGATTCACCTAGAATACTGGATAGTTTTGGAAGCTTTCATAGAGACTTTGAAAACTTTTTATTTTGAAAAATATCTGGCTTGGAGAAGTGAGCTAACAGTGAGCTAACTCTACCTCTCAGCATCTACACAAACGACTGTTTCTTGTGAACTGTGTTCGAATACGCGGCATACCTCATGCCACATTCCCCTGCTGCTGGGCCTATCCCCCTGGCATGAGGACAGACTCCTGTGGAATCCAGGGCCAGGTCAAGTCGGGCAGTTTAACACGGGCACAGTCGTCACCTGCTCTTCACTTTGTCCTGATTGTCTTGGCAGAGCCCTTCGTAGCACTGTTTCACCATGGCAGCGTCTGGTTCACTTAGTCGTCATTCATCTGAAACTGGTCTTTTTTTTTTTTTAATGTTTATTTATTTTAAGAGAGAGAGACAGAGTGGTGCGTGAGCGGGGAAGGGGCAGAGAGAGAGAGAATCCCAAGCAGGCTCCTTGCTGTCAGTGTGGAGCCTGACGTGGAGCTCAATCCCATGAATTCTGGGATCCTGACCTGAGCCAAAATCTAGAGTTGGACGCTCAACCGACTGAGTCGCCAAGACGCCCCTGTAACAGGTCCTTTTCAAAAGAAGCAAAAAACCCCACCTTTCTTCGCTTTTCATAACATAGATATCTTTGAAGAGTATAGGCCAGTTGCTTCATAGATTGTTCTGCAGTGTGGGTTTGTGTGATGTTTCTCTGTGAGTGTATTTAGACGACGCATCCCAGACAGGAATCTTATCTAGGTGACTTCTGTGTACTTCTTAGATTAACCCGTCCAGATGCGAGTGATGTGACCTGCCCCCGGGGTGATGCTGATTTCTCACTTGGTCAAGCTGTTGTCTGTTCTGTCCATTGTGTAGCCCTGGTTTTGACCCCTGCGCTAATCTGTGGGGACACTTGAGTCACAGACTCAAAGCTGGCAGGTTTCAAACTGCTCTTAGGGATCTTGTGGTGGAGGCAGTGAGCAGGGAGGAGAGATCTAGCCTCCAGGTCTGTGGCATTCAGAGATGGGCCGTTTTGGTCTGTTTTTACGTACTTGGTTTCCAAGTAAAATGTATTTCAAGTAAGAGTTTCCCCTTCTCTGTTTGAATTTCTTCAGAATGTAGTGAAGAATCTAAGGCAGCCTTTTGCCCCCCCTCGCCCCCAGCCCACCTTCCTTTAATGTTTGAGTTCTGGTCCTGCATGCTTTGTGTTACTCTTTGCTAAATTGATGGATAAGCCAAATTGTGGATAATCCTGTGTTTTATTTTGTTTATTTTTTGTTGAATCATATTTATTCTCAGAAATGTCTAGTGTTTAAAACATAACTTGATAAGGTTATACATGTGAAATCTCCATGATGACAGTACATTTTATAGAACAAATATAAAATGTTTTTGTGACTTAACACAGTCCTCTGTTGTTTTTAGTCTTCCGATTTATCCACCATCTTTTCTAGGTTTTCCAAGTATGCACTATATTTGATTTTAAAAACAGATGATCTTTTCTAAGATTTTTTGTTAAAATGAAATTCACACTAATGATTTCCAGTACAGGATTTATAGCACTCGTAAGACTAAAGTTGTCCTGGGTTGATTTTATAGGAGGACAAAGACACTGATTCCACCAAAGAACCTCTGGATGACCTTTTCCCAAATGATGACGACGAACCCGGCCAAGGAAGTAAGTTGGCGAAGGGGAGTGGTTAAGTGGCAGCCTAGAAACAGAAGGTGGTTTGTCCTGTTGTGATGTCATTGCCACAATCAGTGGGCATCTTCGCGCCGGTGGCCTGCCTCACGGGAGCAGCCCTCTGTGCACTTGGATGGCGTTATGTTTCCCAAAAGAACTTCAGAGAGTTTCTTGGTGGGACACAGTAGTACGTTAGACCGGCCACTGCGAGATAGGGTTGTGCATAGACGGTTCAGACGTGAAGTGTGGACTCTTACGGGGTTGGAAAGGCAGAATTAGTTTGGTGCCGAGGGCAGTCTGACTGCTCTGTTGGGGGCATCACACCACCCCTGACAAGTTACTGATGTTACGCAGCCTGCCTGGGGAGTGCTGCGTGGGTGTCCGTAGCGTGGGGCCCAAGTGCCACCCTGGACCAAAGCTAGAGAAGAAAGGTGTCATTCAGTGGTGTCGTCCGGATGATTTCCTCTCGGCACATCTCAAGTGAAACTCTGTCTGTGCAGTCCAGCAGCAGCACAGCAGTGCAGCGGCCGCGGCGCAGCAGGGCGGCTACGAGATCCCGGCGCGCCTGCGCACTCTGCACAACCTGGTCATCCAGTACGCCTCCCAGGGGCGCTACGAGGTGGCCGTGCCGCTCTGCAAGCAGGCCCTGGAGGACCTGGAGAAGACTTCGGGCCACGACCACCCGGACGTGGCTACCATGCTGAACATCCTGGCCTTGGTGTACAGGCTAGTAGTTCTCATTTTCTCCTCTGGTCTTTCCCGGAGGCCGTGTTTTTAATGAACTTGCCCGTAAGCTGCTTCGCCAGCTTTATTGTTCACTTCTCCTCAAACAGCCAGGGGGTTAGATTCAAAATACTCAGCGAGATCTATGGCGAGGCTGTCACCCTGTGGAACAGATGCTGCCCAAAACGACCTAGGTCAGCCTTCCTAGAATAGCCCACGTGCACCCTTCGCTCTGGCCAAAGTCAACTCTCGATTTTTTCCAGCAGGCTCTGTACCAGGTTTCTTTTCTCCAGAACAGCCTTCCCGCCTGTCTGTCAGCTCTCTCTCTTTTCTGGGTCTCGGATCCCACTCTCCCTTTGCCCCTGTTGTGTCGCCTGTGTGCCCCTTTCTTCTGGCGCCTGTGCACTGTGCTCGGCATCGGGGCTGCCTGCGCTTTGTTCTCTCTTCTCCCAGAGTCGTGTCCCTTAAAGGTGGGGCCCAGCCTGTGTCTGTGTCCCTGTCTCTCCTGTCACTCCAGCACGCTTCCTCCCTTAGGAGCCCCTGGCGAACACTTTGAAGGCAATTGAGGAATTAGCCTTTATGGCCCAGGGAATGACATGTTGGAGCCCTTTGTGCGTGTCTCTTAGCTCACCTAACCTGAACTAGATCAGACACGGGTGAGTGGGGACCTGAGGAGGGGGAAGTTACTACTCACACAGTAGGAGTGGTTTGCTGTGGCCCTTCCAGTTTTGTGGGTTGCAAATAAAGGGTTTGTGTTTCTTCATTGTCCCCATTCAACATGTTTGATACACACAAGTATAGGTAGGATTTTAGGCTGGTTCCTGTGAGGCCCTAAAGAGGAATATGTAATTCCTGTTCTCAAGGAGAAGCCAGAATACTCAATTTATTTTTTTATTAAAAAATTTTTTTTAACGTTTATTTCTTATTGAGAAACAGAGAGGGACAGAGAATGAGCCAGGGAGGGGCAGAGAGAGAGAGGGAGACACAGAATCCGAAGCAGGCTCCAGGCTCCGAGCTGTCAGCGCAGAGCCCCATGTGGGGCTCGAACTCACGGACCATGAGATCATGACCTGAGCCGAAGTCGGACGCTTAACCGACTGAGCCACCCAGGCGCCCCCAGAACACTGAATTTAAAGTCAGGACAACTCCGTTTGTATCTCTGCTAAATGGCCCCAAGACTGAAGATGTTGTCCGGAGCCTTTAACTTTTCTGAGTCTCGGTTTTCTTCCTGGTTTTCTTTCCTGGTGTGCTGGTTCAAGGAGTGCTGGCTGGGTTTCTCATGTGTTGGAGCTGAGGCTGCTTGTCCTTGGTTGGGGGCCACGCCTGAGAACCAGTGTGGTTGCTCTTCGTGTGACTTCACTTTGGCCAATTGGTTTATAGTCCCTGACGTGTTACGGCACAGTTTAGAAGGGTGCTCAGTATACCTTGTCTCGTTTAGTTGTTGTTACTAATTATAAGTTTCTAGCAGGTTTTAAAACTGTCATACTTGCTGATTTTCACAAGAAGTTTGAGCCAGTTCATAATGTGTAGTATAATTGTAGGATAATTGGAGGAAAAAATCTCAATACGCTTGGCCAGAATTAGTGTGCTTCAGAGGTTCCATAGGCCTTCTGAACCCTTCCCATGTTTTGTAGGACAGACTGGATTCTGTAGGGCGAAGCCTTGCTGGGCAGCTCTTACTCAGTTAAGAAACATGTGTGCTAGCTTTTGTAATCACATTGTCAGTACATAAACCAAGGTGGGCAGAGGCTGGGTCTGGTCTGATGGTGTTTCTGTCTTACCACAGTCTAAAAAATATCCTCATTCCTCTTACTACAAGCAAATGGTGGCAAGTTGCATACCAGATTAAGACACTATAATGTACCATATTTATTTTTAACTAGCTTTTTCATTATACACATAGCATATCATTACCTTCCAAAGCAACTCTGTGAGTTAGGTCATACACTTCCTTTCTAGATGGGCTGATTGGGACTGTGGGAGGCTTCTTCGTGTCCCAAAGCCTTGTAGCCGGTAACTGGCAGAGCCTGGGCTCAGATGCTGGCATCAGTTCTATCTGTTAGAAGGTGAAGCTGTGCCCACTTTCTGGGCTGGCTCACTTGTTCTGTGTGGGGCAGCTCGCCTTGTGGGGGCGGCATTGTCCTGGTGATCTAGAGGGGAGGGCAAGCTTCAGAAACTAATCAGGCCTGGATTCCAGTTCACATTTATTGGTGGAAGCTTTTTCTTGTACACTAGAGGTGTTTTTATTAGTTTTAATTGTTGATTTATTTTTTAAATAGTTGAAGCTTTTATTTCTGTAGTTTCAAAATTACATTTTAAAAAGATGGAGTAAGCTATATCCAAAACACTTACTGTATGTCTTTCAATTTAGAGACCAGAATAAATACAAAGATGCCGCAAATCTACTGAACGATGCCTTGGCCATCCGTGAAAAAACTTTGGGCAAAGATCATCCCGCGGTTTGTATATCTGGTTCTTTCATTCTTTTTACATTTTATTTTCCCTATTTTTTTTTTTTACCCAACTCATTTTAATATTAAACTCAACAGGGAAGGTTTAAGAGCTGCCTTTTCACTAGATGGCACAGGTAGGTGTCTTGACTTATTTGATAGCAGTGACAAACTTCAGTCCTGGGGACTCTGATATTTAGCATGTGCTGGTGCACACTCGTTCATCATCACCATCTCAAATGGATCACGTACTTTTTTTTTTTTTGTCTTAAATCAAATTGCATGTACTTCTATAATTTTTTTTTCTGAAGAATTTATGTTACCTTCTTCTTAAAATCTGGTCAGATTTGCAAACAGATCTGTGTTTGCGTTGGTTCGGTTGGCTTTGTGGCTTTCAGTGAAATTAAAAAAAAAAAAAATCAAGATCATGTTGCTGATGTTGATTGTTGAATTTTTGTATTCTGCACTTTACTTCGTAGAATCTGTATATAGTGAATTGCTCTCTTGCTTTTAACCGAAGTCCTATTTCTTCCTTCGCTGAAGAGCACTTCACTGTGCACACTGGGCACCGACGGATATGTGAGATCTGAAGTCCTGTCCGTCAGTCCTGTACCGCTCCTTGACGTTCCTTTTGTGTTGGTAGGTGGCGGCCACTCTGAATAACCTTGCAGTGCTGTACGGCAAGAGAGGGAAGTACAAAGAGGCCGAGCCGCTGTGTAAAAGAGCCCTGGAGATCAGAGAAAAGGTGCGGCCAGAGGAGTGGTGCTTATTGTCTTGAGATGTGGTGTTTTGTGTCTTCTAAGTATTTCAGATTTTAAGTTTTGAGAGATGACCCCTGTGGTATGCGGTGACTGACCATTTCCTGAAAATAACTCATTGGATAAGGTATGAGGTGGACAGCCTGCAAAACACAGCTGATTGGCCCATTCACACCATTCACACCGGTGTTTAAGAGGGGTGGGGGTGTCCGTGTATGCCCGCCCTGCCTGATGTGGCCTGGGAATGCCTGCAGAAGGAGGAACTTCTGAGCACTGGCTGTGGAAGGCCTAAGGGCACACCATTTCACAATGGGGCATGTACCTGTCGAGGAGAAACACATTGAAATTTAAAAATAAAGTCACCAAATACGCTTGTAAAGCTTAAAAGATGAAGTTATTTTGAGAACTAAAGTGTAACTCAGAACTGTAGATGACGTCAGTGTCATGGATGTGAATTACGCCAGGAGCTACAGTTTATGGTAATTAGGTATTGGAAAAAATGTAGCTTGTCAATTCCAGCAGTAGGGAGGCTGAGGTGTCCAGTCCATTCCATGAATGACCAAGGGTAGTATTTTAACTTGGTATTTTTTGTGATTATTTACCCGCGATACTGCAAGGTCACTTAACTTTCAGCCGTATGGCAAGGGGAAGTAAAAAACGGCTCATCATCAAATTATGCAGGAGAACTTCTTTTCTGCTGCCGTCTACATGATATTTATGAAATAAAATGGTCAGATTTTGAGTAGACTAGGGTTAAAGTCAAGGAGAACCCATAAGTATCAAATTAAGGATTATGAACTCTGTACAGTGATCTACCAGATTCATTCGTACATAGTGGCTTTCATTTACTCATTTAGCAATGCGTGTTGAGTTCTTGGAGGCCCCTGCTTGGTTAGAGCTGGTGATTTACAAATCAGAGAGAAAGCTCCTTCCCAGGGGGCACAGGATGTATAGTTGGCTTCCAGGATAGAATTCCAGGAGTGTGCAGAGAGCATGGGCCCCCGCAAAGTCCCAGGAGGGTGGTGCACCGGGGATGGCTTCCCATAAGTGGTCAGTGTTTGTACTGAGTCTTAAACAAGGTTCACAGGCAGGGAGAGCAAGGGAGTGCAGAGCGGGAGGGAGGGGCAGCATGCCTTCTTGGGGAGGCACAAAGTTGAGAGAATGAATCCCTTGTCCAAGGTACTGAAGAAATAGTTCAGTATTTATTCATCTGTGTGTCCGTACCTCTGTGGATGCTGACATTTACACTGGTGAAGGAGATGTAACATTGGCACTCCTGGTTATAATGGGCAGTGGACTACATACATAAATGAGATAGTTTTGGTTAGTGATTCTTGCAAAGGAAGAAACCAGGATGGTTGTGAGTTACCAGGGTGAGGGCGGGCCGGGGCTCCCTTCAGTCAGATGTAGGGAAGTGTGCCCTATGAGGGTTCTGCAGAGACCTGAGGGTTGATTAGTCAGTGGGTGGTGTGGTTGGGGGGACTGGGAGAAGGACGTCAGGCATCTGGGATGAGAGTTCGGAGAGCCCTGAAGGGGGAGTTCGCCACGTGAGGGGAAGTGGTTTGGGGTGACTGCAGAGGCTTAGTGCGAGTGGAAGAGTTGGAAATTCCCTTTGAAGGCTGTACACATCGGGATGAGTCTTGTGCAACAGCTGGAGTCAGAAAGGGCTCTTCCACACCTTGGCAGTTATGCCAGCACAGCCTTTATAGAACAGTGTCCTCGTCTCTAGACCGTGCATGATCCACCACTGCCAGCTACTGTGTGGGCTTATTCTAAGAACTGAAGTTTATTTTTTTTTTTTATTATTTATTTATTTTTTTTTTTAGAACTGAAGTTTAAAGCATGTACGGTTCCTTCTCACCCCCAAGAATAAGAGTTCTGGTGAAGTTATTTTTATTATTACAGGGCACGGGGAGGCATGGCATTAAGCCTGGAGGTTAGGCACAGTCCCGTTTCCGTTTAGAAGGATCTTTCTCGTAGGTGGTGAATGGATTGGATGGGAGTGAAACAAATCAGTGTTTTCTAATACACTCTATTTTGTTCCAGGTTTTGGGAAAGGATCACCCCGATGTTGCGAAGCAGTTGAACAACTTGGCCTTACTGTGCCAGAATCAGGGCAAATATGAAGAAGTAGAATATTATTATCAAAGAGCCCTTGAGATCTACCAAACAAAACTGGGGCCTGACGACCCCAATGTGGCCAAAACGAAAAATAACCTGGTATGTTGATAGAGGCACACTCTGTAGATAGAGCCAGAATTCCTTTTCTTTGAACTTTTGAAGTTTGTTTTGTCATTTAGCCTGTAGGTAAGAGTGTATATTTCATTTATATATGAAGATTACTGAGTACTTTATTTTCTTTTAAGGCCTCCTGCTATCTGAAGCAAGGAAAATTCAAGCAAGCAGAAACACTGTACAAAGAGATTCTCACTCGTGCACACGAAAGGGAGTTCGGTTCTGTGGATGGTAAGAACTACGCTATTGCTGCTGAGCGTATACAGTTGCAGAATGCATTAAGAGCGATTTCCTGCTGGAACTTGGTAATACCCAAATCATCCTAATATTTTCAAGGGACAATGTAATTTGAATGTTAGAAATGATTTTGCAGATAGTGCTTAGAGGAGAGGACATGGCACAGTGTGCGTAGTCCTAGGCTCATTCACTCACCTACCAGCCAGTGAGCGTTGGAGAACACCCGCGTACTTGCTCTGGTGTCACCAGTAGCTCCAGTTACCCCCAGGGTGTCGTGCTTCTTGTAGTGAGGGGTGATGGGCCACCCACCCCACATCTTGCCTCATTGCTCTCTCCAGAGTCCAGCCTGGCTTCATGCACAGTTCAGAGCATTAACTCCAGAAAGTCTCTCTGGAGACATCAACGGTTCTGGGATTGTCCTGTCATCCTGGTTCTTAAAGTGTCAGCAGGGATCAGTAGCATCAGCACCACGTGTGACCTGTCAGACAGAAGTGCAGGTTGTCAACCCCATCCCAGGCCCACTGGATTATTAGACTGCCTTAAAGAGCCAAGGCCTGTCTTCATATTCCTTAAAGTATCATAGGTACTTAATACACAGTTTTGGAACAAATATTTTGTAGGATTTAAATTGCTCAATAAAACAGTATTTGTATGTTACATAAGGACCCCCCCCCCCCCCAACATCAGGTGTTACATAAAGCATTTGGAATGAGGACAGTTGTTACTGGTGTGCAGGAAACCTCATAATGCATAGGGAGGTTTTGGTTAATAAGTGTTTTCTTTATCCTTTATTTTTTATGTTTTTTTAATTTATTTAGAGAGAGAACGAGCGGGAGGGGGGGGAGGGAATCAGAGGATCTGAAGCAGGCTCTGTGCCGACAGCAGAGCGCCCAATGCAGGGCTTGAACTCATGAACCATGAGATTGTGACCTGAGCCAAAGTTGGATGCTGAACTAACTGAGCCACCCAGGCACCCCAATAAATACTTTCTTTTATAGAGAGTTCCTAGAAACCACTCTTGAAAGATCTTTGAAGTGTATTAATACTATTTTCCTCCCGTTAGTAAGTGGAGCGGTAAATCTCTTTTACTCTGAGAATCTGGGAATGCCCCAGGCTCACCATTCTGAGTGTGGATTCTGTTTGCAGTTGACACAGGACGGGACAGCAAGTGCCTCCCCAGAGTCGTACAGTTCACAGGGGCTTCCATATCCTCGCCTAACTGCAGAGGCCGTCTGGACTTTGTAGTGATTTCAGGTCCTTTCCTTAATGCTGCTTTTTCAAAATTCTGTTCTTGGGGAATATTTGTTTCCTTATGACTTGGTAGCTTCATTTTGCTAAAAACAGTAGTATAAAGTCCACAGCTAATTGGGTTCCAGTTAAAAAAGCAGTGTTCCTGTATTTGGATTTGCCTTCCATGCACATGTTAAAGCGTAGGACAGAAGGCATTTCTTTTTGGGCAAGATATGTGTGTCCTGTGGCCATCGATGTGTGACCTCCAGTCTCCCAGGGACCTGCTGCTCACGGTGCACATCCTGACATGTGCGACCTGTTGTGTCGTCTGGGAGTCGTGCTCTATTAGCTGGTGTGTAGTTGGCTATTCCAGCAACAGAATAGTTCAGAATAATTCAGTTAGATACGGCTAACCCTGCACCCACAGTGCAGCCTCACATACTGTTCACTCTCTTAAGACCAGTATTTAAAATAGGCTTTAGTGTCCTGTGACATGCCAAGTAACAATCATAGTTCTGTCAGGCAGTCTCGGTGTGTGATCTCGTTTCATTTTCTGAACATTCCTGTGAACTGGATCAAACCTTAATCCATTTTAGGAGTGAGGACACTGTAGACTAAGTGACTTGGGCCAGGGTAGGTGGTTAGTGAGCGGGTGACCTGGTGTGAGCATAGGTTTCTTCCTCGGGAGCCTGAAGCCGGTCCTTGAAAGGTTCCTGCGTGCAGACACGGAAGGTGAAGGTCACCCATGATTTCAAGTGTTTTCCTTCTTTCTGTGCTGATTGATTTACACGATTAAAACCATGCTTTACATATAATCACAAATACTGCTTATTTTTCTTCAGATTTGTACCCTAACCATTTTTCATGTCATAAAAATATTCTCATAAATGTCACTTTTCAGACTGCTTATCCTCCGTGGTGTGGTGTGGTGTGGTGTGGACACGCTGGTTGTCTAGAAGCGCTGGATGGAGTGGCCTGGTATAGGTTCCGGAAGGTTAAGACCGTAAGGGAGTATCTCGCATCTTTTGCCAGGTTCTCTCCAAGCATCTTATTCCTTTTTCTTGGACTTTTGTTTAATGCTAGCTTTGTCAAATTCTGAATACTCCCCAGTGTTACGTGAAGATTCTAGCACTAAAGTTTCATTGTAGGAGCCTCAGCATTCGTCAGGTTCGGTAGACAGCCGCCAACCTCTGCAGTTACGTCTGATTCTCCAGTTTCTACGGTCACTGAAACCTGGCAGCCTCCCCTCAGTGGGCTCTCCCGTGCTTCGATTTCATAGTATGTTATGTTTTCTCCCCTAGATGAAAATAAACCCATTTGGATGCACGCTGAAGAAAGAGAAGAATGCAAAGTAAGAACACGATGTTTTGAGACATTTTCTGAATCGAATACGTTGCTTTAAAAATAATTACTCATTTGTTATAATTTAGGGAAAGCAGAAGGATGGGACATCTTTTGGAGAATATGGCGGCTGGTACAAAGCCTGCAAAGTTGATAGGTATGTCTTTTTACCGAGAGAAATAGAACTACTTGGAAGGTGCTAGTGCTTTAAGGGCAGCTTGTAAATGACCGAACACGTAAAGTTCCGTAAGATGGTGTGCCTGCACAGTCCCCTGTTGTTTCAAATTCCCGTCCAAAAACCTGTAATTTTGTGTTTTAAATGTTCATTTATTTAGAGAGATGGGGAGAGAGTGCTAGAGCATGTGCCTTGGGACGGGGGCAGAGAGAGAAAGAGAGAGAAAGAATCCCAAGCAGGCTCCATGCTGTCAGCACAGAGCCTGATGTGTGGCTTGAACTCACGAACCATGACATCAGTGACCTGAGCCAAAATCAAGCATGGGATGCTTAATCTACACAGCCCTTCAGGCACTGTTTCTTTGTTTCTGTACCTTAAGCGCCTATTATTGTTAATAAGAAAGAAGTCTCTTGAAGTACTTACATATGCTGAAAGGAACTAGGTTTATTTCTAGTTTCTTAGTAAGACTGTGGTTATGGGCAGAGACACACTCTTCTTCACACACGTCGCACTCTTTCTGGCTCCCGTGTGCTCATTCCGTCTCCCTCTATGTGGAGAGGAGGGAGACCGTGAACAGCAACATTAGGAATGCCGTGTCCTCTTTACTGCCCAGCGCAGAATAAGCTCAGCCCCCAGGGGAGGCATGATGGCTACTAGCCACACCCAGCACAGTTGTTTCTGTTGCCAGAGGGCCTGGGGACAGCCACAGCCTGGAAAGCACACGGGCGTGTCCCAGCGGCCACAGGGCTCAGTGCAGTGTGCCCTGGCCCCTCAGAGAGTCTACGGCAAGGGTCGGAGTCGCCTCACTCTCTCACACAGCACTGGTAGGCAGGGGATCCTTGGGATAGAAGAACTGTTTTAGAATTTTGCTGCTTGAGAAAATACTGTAGAAACTTAAGTGTTTCTTACGAACGTGTCTTTTAGTCCTTTAGATTATGTGTTGTTGACAGTTCTGAAACTTGTATTTAATACTCTGTGTATCCTGGGCTTTCCTACAGTCCGACTGTTACAACTACTTTGAAAAACCTCGGGGCACTTTATAGACGACAAGGCAAATTTGAAGCTGCGGAAACACTGGAAGAAGCAGCCATGAGGTCCCGTAAACAGGTCAGTGACATGCCTCCTATTTTTAACTTGCCTGTTAGAGGTGTTTTTTTGTTTTGTAATTAAAAAAACTTTTTTTTTTAATGTTTATTTTTTAAGAATGAGAGAGACAGAGCGTGAGTGTTTCTAATATTTATTTTTGAGAGAAAGAAACAGAGTGTGAGGTGGGGAGGGGCAGAGAGAGAGGGAAACAACAGAATCTGAAGCAGGCTCCAGGCTCTAAGCTGTCAGCACAGAGCCTGATGTGGGGCTTGAACCCAAGAACTGTGAGATCATGACCTGAGCCAAAGTCAGACACTTAACTGACTGAGGCACTCAGGTGCCCCAAGATATTTTTTTAAAGTTTATTTATGTATTTCTTTTGAGAGAGAGAGAGAGAGCGCGCGCGCATGAGAGGGGAGGGGCCGAGAGAGAGGGGGACAGAGAATACCAAGCAGGCTCCATGCTGTCAGCACAGAGCCTGATGTGGGGCTTGAACCCAAGAACTGTGAGATCATGACCCGAGCCGAAGTAGGATGCTTAACCAACTGAGCCACCCTAGACGCCCCTCATCGCCTAGAACTTTAATTGAATGGGTTGAATGAGTCTTTTTTTTTTTTTTTTTTAATATTTATTTATTTTTGAGAGGAAGAAATGGAGTGTGAGTGAGTGGGAGAAGGGCAGAGAGAAGGAGACACACAATCAGAAGCAGGCTTCAGGCTCTGAGCCGTCAGCACAGAGCCCGACGTGGGGCTCGAACTCATGAGCAGTGAGATCACGACCTGAGCTGAAGTCAGACACTCAACCGACTGAGCCACCCAGACGCCCTGAATGAGTCTTTTTTAATATGACTTATCAAAAGCTTGACTTAGAAAATATTTAATATTTTAGTTTGTACAAACAAAACTATATTATTTAAAAGGTCGTAACTATAGGGACGCCTGGGTGGCTCCGTGGGTTAAGTCCCTGAACTCGAACCAGGCGTTGGTCTCAGGATCTGGAGTTGAAGCCCCACGTTGGGCTCCGTGCTGGGTGTGAAGCCTACTTAAAAAAAAAAACAGACCATAACCATGACACCGAAAGCACAAGCAGCAAACGAAAACCTCGATCGGTTAGATTCACCAGAGTTAGAAACGTGTGTGCACTCAAGGACACTGTTCAGATAGCGAAGATACCCACAGAATGAGTGGAAGTGTTTGCACATCACATCTGATGATGCACTAGTGTCCACAATGTATAGAGACAGGAGGATTTCCTAGTTAAAGAATGAGCAGAGGAGGAGGAGCTGAGCAGACATTTCTCCAGAGATGGTGCACAGATGCCCACGGGCGTGGGCGGGTGAAGTGCTCCCCATCGTCAGCCACCACCCTGCTTCACCCCCATGGGGACGGCTCGAGTGCGACACAGAATGGAACAGGTGTCGAGGGAAAGATGTAGAAGCTGGAGCCCCCATGCGCTTCTGGTGGGGACGCGAGGCGGCGCAGCCACCATGGACAGCAGCGTGGTGGCTTCGCAAGAAGGTGAACATGGGATCATCGGAGCGTTTTCCTTCATCTACTGAGGCGTTTAGTCATGTGAAATACGGTGTGAGGAGATGGAGGGAGGGGTGCCCTTCGTGCCCTTTAATGAGCAGCTTTCAGAGTAATGAGTAAGTGTGTTAACCCTGTGTGTGTATGTGTTTTTGTGTTACCTTGTGGGCACACATGAGCGTGTGTATGTGTCTGTGTAAATATATAAAAACGTATGTAAAGGTGGCACGTCTGGTTTTGTCTTATATCTCTTTAGGACTGGAGAGGCAGGTGTGAGTTTTTCCCTCCACCCCCCGCCTCTTTTTTAAGTTTATTTTATTTTTGAGAGAGAGACAGGGAGAGAGAGTCTCAAGCAGGCTCCGCACTGTCAGCACGGAGCCCAATGTGGGGCTCAAACTCACAAACCATGAGATCATGACCTGAGTGGAAAGAAAGAGTTGGCCGCTTAACCACCCGAGCCACGCGGTCGCCCCAAGTTTTTCCCTCTTGAATGGTACATATGTAGGCGATTATGTGTTTGCTGGTTTATTGCGCTTTTTGTCTGGGGTTAAAGTGACCCGTGTATACCTTAGAATTCTTTTTCTGAACAAAATCTGTGCGGACTGAGGAGAGAAAACCCAGGCAGAGTTGGTACCAATGATGTGTCCCAGCCTGTGCCCCTGGAGGAGCCCCTTTCTTAAGTCTGGCCATACTTCCTGGGTCTTCTGACTCTGAAAGGCTGCTTGGGAGCTTGGCATGCACAGGGGAGAGCGCTGGAGGCGTTGGGAGGCCTGGTGGGGGTCTGGCTGTGTGGGGCTGCATGGCATTCGGGCACAGTGCCCACGTTTGCCACCCCTGGGGATGGAAGGTGGCTTCCACCACCTTGATGCTCATCCCAGCTCTAGACTTCTATGACCTGTCATCAGGATTAGTGCCAACAATCCAGGCTTTGTTTTAAAGTACCAGGATGATGTTTATCAACTGAGCGGAGTCTGGGGATCAGGAGTTGTAGAAGCTTAAAGAAGGGGATTGTCAGTGCTTTACTGAGAGAGGTCTCCTCCTGCCTGGTGAGGGGGCACGTCCGCTTTACCGTAAAGTCACATTAGTACATCATCTGTCTGAGATTTGTACCTTTTGAGGAAGACCCTGTGGGAGTCAGCACAGTATTTGCACGAGCTGTTGGGTTGAAATCCCATTTAGAGTACAGATCGTTAGAACTGAAACGCACCCGGAGAACAATCTGTGCTGTGTTGAGTGCAGCGAGGTGTTAGCTCAAGTGTGGGGGAGGCTGTCCCTGCCGCAGTGAAGTGAAGTGAGTGCTGCTGCCCTCTCTCCCTGACACTGGGGCCGTCTGGGCGTTGTCCCGGCAATGTCTGATGACACTTTGCAGACGGAGAAGTTGAAAGGGTTCCGCACTCGTGTACCTGCCTCCTAGGTTCTGTCTTGAACGTGTCCTTGCTCTTTGGCACATCTGTCCCAACTGCCCATCCACAGGTCCTTTCTTGGGGAGGGCGTTTCAGGTTTGTATGTGTCAGTTCATTTCCTTGTAAATACTTCAAGTGTGCAGTTTGCTTGCTGGAGTCCAATGTTTGTTGTTTTTTATTTTTATTTTTTTATTTAAAAGTTTTTTTTTTTTAATGTTTATTTATTTTTGAGAGGCAGAGAAACAGGGCACGAGCAGGGAAGGGGCAGAGAGAGAGAGAGAGAGAGAGAGAGAGGGAGACAGAGAATCCGAAGCAGGCTCCAGGCTCTGAGCTGTCCGCACAGAGCCGGTTGTGGGACTTGAACTCACGAATTGCGGAGATCATGACCTGAGCTGAAGTCAGATGCTTAACCAACTGAGCCACCCAGGCGCCCCTATTGTTTTTTAAAATTCGAGGTAAAACTAACCGAGTGGAATGCCTAAGTGTTAGGCGTACGTTCCTGAGAATCACTGCTCTGAGTTTTTCTTTCCAGTGTTTAAGAGCTGTTTTGTTTTTCTTTTCCTTAGTGAAACTTAACTATCTTAGAAATCCTCAACGAAACTTAAGTTCTAATGGATCAAACCCTTTCCCCCTTGCCTGGCTCACAGGGTCTTGACAATGTTCACAAACAGAGAGTAGCTGAAGTGCTGAATGACCCTGAGAACATGGAGAAGCGGAGAAGCCGGGAGAGCCTGAACGTGGACGTGGTCAAGTACGAGAGCGGCCCTGACGGAGGGGAGGAAGTGAGTATGAGCGTAGAGTGGAACGGGGTAAGTACAGTACACAGCCGCCGGCGTGCTCGGCCAGGCGCTCTGTCCCCGCGTCCCCCGGCCGCGGCCTGGGCCAGTGTCCTGCAGGGGTGCCTGCCAGCACTTTCCTCTTGTCTTATGTGCCAGACACTTTCCTGTTCTCAAATTACGTACAAAATTAAGATTTCTGTAAGTTTTTACCTTCTGCTAATGATGAAGTCTGTTATTTGTTTGAAGTGGTAATTTTCTTCTCCATAGGAACCCATGAAAGCTGTTTGGCTTAACTTTGAGCACTTAAATGCTGATTGAGTGTCCTGGTTATTTAAAGCATAATCCATAACCTGGGTTTATTTTAATATTAGGATTAGCGTGGCAGATAACTAACTCGCTTTGTTAACTTAACCCATTTTCATCGCTAACTCCAGCGCTCCTAATTTCACTGACCAGGCTGCTGTCGATTTTGTTAGAAGTAGTTCAGATTCCTCAAAGGGAGATGATGTTGTCAAGTAGAACTTGTCTCTAGGAAAGGACAGGTTGGGATGGCTGCTGTTCGTGTCCCACCTCAGTGCTGAATATCATGTTTCCCCTGGGGGTCCAGGGGCTCATCTCTCTCCACTGCCATCTGCCAGAGGTTCTCGGACGCAGAACTGCAGAACTCGTGCCTGTGTTTGGGACCTATCCCTCCAGGCTCTGCCTCTGGGTTTCATGACTTTGCCTTTATGGATGTTCTTACCACTGCTGTTTACCCAGTGGTTGCCGAAGAGCGTGTGGCCTTCTGAACATTTTTTTTCTAGTGTATTTTGGTCACACGTGGGTAATGTTTTTGTCTATTAAGCTGGTATCTGTGGGATTTTGCTTTTATCAGAGAGGACTGAAAGCAGGATTAGCTTTAACGCATCCAGGTGCACTCTCGATTTTTTTATCATTATTTTTTGAAGTTGTGGTCCAGTTTGATTAGCTGATATGGTGCAGATGTTTTGCCAAATAGTAGTTTCGGGTTTTTCTATACTCCATCTTTTTGAGTGTATTTATTTGGGATTTTTCTATAGCTGTAGCGGTTTGGTAAGGATTAGCATTCTAAGCAGACACTTTGTACGTAATGTTAGGGGTCAGAGTTTCAGAGAGAACATCTTTTGACCGTCTTTATCTGGCAGCTGCCTCGCTTTGGGTTTTCCTGTGCCAAGACAACCAATCAGCATCCGCTTTGACCATCCCCCTGTCGGGCTGTAGTCCAAACAAAACGACGATGGCGCAGGCCCTCCTCTTGCCCACATCTGGCCACACTGTGTACTGTACTCTCCCCATGGTTCCTGTCGTCCTGCATGCCTGTGTAGAGGGCCACGTCCCTTCTCCGGCCTTTGGAAGCCAGGGTGCAGATTTGATACTCTCGAATGAAGTTCTGGAGGAGCTGTTTCTTGAGACAGTATTTCTAGGTCAACCTTCCTGTGAAATCCTATCATAAAGTTATTGACAACGTGGAGTTGTGTTACGTCTTCAAGACTGAGACTCAGGGATGAGGGAGAGGCGCTTCCCATCCAGGGTGGAGGGCTGGTAGGCAGCTAGTCAGGCCTGCCGCGGGGTCCCAGAGGCCGTGGGCACAACAGTCACTCCTCTGGAGCACACGCTTGGCCCTCTTTCCATTTCACATTTCCCGTCTCACTTTGGACATGCTCTCACTTAGGACGCTCACACGCCAGGCTTTGGACCCCTTTTTACTTGACATTAGACACTAGGAGCTCTGCATCTTTGACAGGATCCATCACAGGGCTCATCGATTGGCTGTGGGGTCCATTGGCTGAGAGAATCTAGATTCCAGATCTTAAGTCCTTCCTAAAACTCGCTTTGAGCAGCAGAAGGATCCCTTTTTTCAGAGTCTCAGCTCAAACAGTGGCGACTTGAGAACTGCCCAGGTTAACCAGGCGGGGAGCCTCCCAGGTTGGCGTGAACACCGCTGGGCCCCCGAGGCCCCTGCCCACATTCAGTCCGCCCTCACCTTTGAGGGAAAGCCATAGCTCTCAGCTTCTGAGGTGGTGGTACTGAGCTGTCCTGATACATGGTCGAAGTTTCATTTTCAAAGCATCCTTGTTCTGCTTTAAGAAGAGACCTGATAAAAGGCAGTATGCACCCTTGCATTTTTTTTGAGTCAGCCTGGTTGAGGGGTAGTTTTGTGCAACCAAAGGAGCCCGGTTTAAGTGTCAGCTTCCAGTGAGAAGCTGGTAGACTGCAGTCCCCACGTTAGTCTTTGTCCAGGTGTGAGAACAAAGGTCTCTTGCCCTCTGTGTATGAGTGCGGAGTTCCCCCAGATGACAACGGGTTTAAGGACCGTTGCCACCTGCAAGCGCTAACCGGTGTGCCACAAGAGTTTCTAGTGTTACGCAGTCCAGATAAACTAGAAACGAGTTGGGAGTTGAGGTGGGTGTCAGGGCTAGGCCTGTCCTCTGTAATTTCACGCCACAAATCGTGAGTTTCTGTTGGTGGCTTCAGGGTTTTCCTGGCTTATTTTATCATCCCAAGAACCTGTTTTACATTTATAATGAGAAAATGCCACCTAGATTTTATGTTGGCGTTCCACATTAGAGTTTTTAAGTCTTTGAAAAACGGTTTCAGTGCTCTTTAAAAAGTTTAAAAACCGCTACCTTAGGAAAAAGCATCGTGTCGCTCTGTCGGGCACGTGCTAGTCTAGTGGGGAGGATGGCGGGCATAGGCCTGGCTGCCTGGTTCCGTGATCAGAGCCGCTGATGCCAGACTGAGTACGTGTCCTCATTCTCCACACTCAGAAGTAACGTCTAAAACAGAGGGCAGCTAGTCCGAGATCAGGCACACTAGGCATAGTTGCTCCCTGCAGATAGTGAGAGTCTGGGTCTCAGCACAGGACTGAATTCTGTGCTATTAAAATGCAAGAAAAGTAAGGTTACTGGATATATTGTAACAATTCATAGGAAATTTTTGGGTCAAATTCTTAGGGAAGTGCAGTTCTGTTCTTTTAGGTATGTACCATAAAGATTGTGATTAAAGTGTGACTTCCTCAAACTTATTTTTGTACAAAGCGTACAGATCTGAAAAGCATTGTCAAGAGAAGCCCGAGTTCTCTTTTATGGTCCTGCTAAAAATGCAGATGCTGTGTGCACAGGAATGCTTCCTGATACATCGGATTCCCTTTACCCTCTGTCCACACGGCTTTGTGTTCACTGAGGGCTGGTTCCCTTCAGATACACGGGAGTCCCTGGGCTGCCTGGTTACTAAGCAGTCGTATCTGCAGCCATGCCACGAGGGCCCCAGGAGACCTCACATGAGGACCCAGGGCCCCCAAGTCAGTCTTCTGCGCTCTGTCTCGATTCGCGCTGCCAGTGCCCTGCAGGCTCCTTCAGGGGGAGCCCGCCCACCTCCCTGTGTTAGTGCTCGCGAGAGCTTCTGATCCACTGAAGTCTTGCCCGAGATTATGAGGAATGGGACAGTACATGCTGTTAATTAGAAATAGGCTTTTTACTTTTAAAAGTTATATTAGGAACACAACTAGAATGTAACAAAAAATAGCAAATCACCTGAAATCTGTACTTAATAACTACTGCCCTGTGTTTCTCAGCCAATACGCTATACACTTCTGTTCAGAAACCCACTTTTTTGACGTAAATACGCTTTCATGGCGGTCAGTGGAAAGTAGTAGAGGCCCCCTGAACAGAAGCCCACCGGGGTTGGGGCGGGTTCCCACCGCACTTCCCGCTGGTTCTGGATGGCGAGGGGAGGGTGGGCAGCCTGCCCCAGCGCCCCTTCCCCAGCGGGGGGGCTGCTTCCGGAACCTGGGGCCTGTGGGCCTGTGGGGGAGGGGGATGTTCACCGTGAAGTCCTTCTCCCGCGGTCCGCGGAGGGTCTGGTCCGGGAGCGCTGCCAGTAACACCGCTGGAGCGTAGCGATGAGTTGGGGGGTGAACAGCAGGTGTACGGTTTGTGGAGTTAACGTTTTAATGTCCTTTTTCTGAAAGACCAACAAGAACTTATGTTTTCTTGTCCTCCCAGCATTCGTGGGGAGTTGGTAACAAATTTTATTTTTCCATTTTAAAGATGAGAAAAATGAAGCTCGGGCTGGTTAAATGACTTGCTCAGCGTCCCATGGTGAGTCAGAGCGGGCAGGGGCTCAGGTCCCCGCTGTCTGGGGCTTCGGTACAAGACCGTTGGGTTTCCAGTCTGCTGAGACCCAGGATGCATTGCTGCCTGTGGAATCCATTTTCCATAACTAATTTTATTTTGGATTACCGACTGCATGTTTAAAATGTGCTGAAGATTCTTAAAGTCCGTGGTTTCTTAAAGTTTCTGAAATGTCTAAACTGTTAGTGCTTTCAAGGGAAAGTCCTCCCTGATTTCAGAGAGAACTTTATAGTCTAGGGATGCAGAAGGATTTCCGACGAAGTTAAAGATCATGAACGTGCCATTCCCGTGTGTAGCCTCTTTTTCCGGTGACTGTCAAGTCATTTCATTGTGGGATCTCCTTTATGGACAGTTGCCGGAAAACCTCGTTACAGTAAGTACCATGGAGATTTGTAGCACAGTGCCAAGCCATGCTCTGAAACTGGAATTTTATTTTGATGGCAGGAGTAACTAGTCTTAATAAGGTATGTGACCGATAACGTGTGGCCCGGTGCCTCTTTGTGCCCGGCTGATAGGAGCAGGCAGAAGGTAATCCCAGATATTGAAGTGATTCAGAGCACCGCTGAGATCCGTGACCTAGAAATACTGTGAGCCGCGCTGCGCTCGTGGGGGTGGCTCTCTGCTCACAGCGGTTTCACTGGGCTCTCTCTCCGTTTCTGTCTGACAGGCCTAGCTGCCCTCTGTGACGCTCACACTGTCTCCTGCATGACGGGCGGCTCCTCCGGCTTTACTTCCCTCTCCAGTGCTGACTGCTGTGTGTAGCAATCCCCTAGGATTCTTGTCAGAGCTCCACCTCTCTGTGACTGGCCATCCCTTTCGGTGCTGCTGTCCTTTCGGGGGGTTCCTTATCTCTGTATACATGTAGCTTTGCCAGATATGTACTTAGTAATATAAACTGTGTTAATAAAAACCATTTACCGTGTGATACATGAGTTTAAGACTTAAGAGCGATTAGCTGTTCACTTTGATAAAAGGTAGTTAGAAGTACCCGCAGGTGTTGATGCAGTGGCATGACAGTGACCGTGGACGCTAGCTAGGCTGTAAGAGTAGGGCATGTGCCGCCCCCGTCGCACTCTGAGACCTGGCGAGGCCCCCCGGGCCCCGGGCTCTCCCCTTAGGATCTCGCTCAAGTAGCATTTGCTGTGTCGTCTCTGTGAAATTTTGGCAGTTTGGCTCTTCTCCACTAACCCTTCAGTGGTCAGTGATTCGTGTACTTGTGTCTTTCTAACTTCTAATAAACTCACTCCAACTGACCTGTGTCTTCGTGTCTGTCTGCTTAGTGGGACTTTTCACTTTTTCCATGGAATGCGGCATTGTGTGGCTTCTTGAGGGAATGGGGCTACTGTTAATCTTACTAAGTCATTTTTTCTGAGAATAAAAGTTGCTACAGACAATTTTTTTACTCTCTGTTCTTCATTTTCATATCCAGATAACTGCCAAATGTTTCACTTATTAATGTCTGAGTCCATTGTGATGAAAGCTGGGCAGTCTTTTACTTCCCACAAGGTGTTTGAGGGTTTTTAGTTTTTGTACAGAATGAACATTTTATTTCATGTTCCAACCTCACTTATAATCCAACATTTAATAAAACTTTTTAAAAACTCACTGAAGGGGCGCCCGGCTGGCTTAGTCAGAAGACCATGCGACTCTCAATCTTGGGGTCTTGAGTTTGAGCCCCACCTTGGTGGAGGGTCGGGGAGGGGGGACTTATAAATAAATAAATACGTGAGAATTTTTACAAAATTATAAAATTTACTAAACAAGCAGTATACCTAAGTATTGTATTTACATGGAATTGTTAAAAAGAAGTTGTCTCTGTCAGCTCAGCGTTTGGGGTCCAGTACCGTTACGTGGCCCAGATGCTTCTGTTTTTATTAAACGTGGAATTTGGTTTTGGTGATCTTCCAAGAAGCAGCCTTCATTTTCTTAAGACTTTTTCTGTGTGTGGTTACCTTTTGTTTTGAAATAGCAGTAAAACTTGGGGGGATGTTTTTTTGTTTGGATGTACTTCTTAATGTTCAAATGTTCTCATGGTCATTGGATTATCTTTAATGAGATTTAAAATGGATCGAGTTCTATTTCAAGTGTGTTTATATGCATGGCAAGTTGGTAATTTCTGTAGCAGTCGCATTGCCAGCATCACAGACAAGTAGGTCAGCCGTGACGTGAATTCTTGTTTTCATGCAGCTCTGCCTCTTGGGAGGTCGGCGGAGGACCGTCTGCGGTTTCACATTTGTTCACATTTCTTTCAGGACGGCACTGGATCTTTAAAGCGCAGTGGCTCCTTTAGCAAACTCCGGGCTTCCATTAGACGCAGCAGTGAGAAGCTGGTTAGGAAGCTGAAGGGAGGAAGTTCTCGAGAGAGTGAGCCAAGGAACCCCGGGTAACTATCTGCAGCCCCGCCGGGTGCCCAGCGGGCCCTCCTCCCCCAAGACAGCGGTGCCCAGCGGGCCCTCCTCCCCCAGGACGGCGGTGCCCGGCGGGCCCCTCCTCCCCCAGGACAGGCTGAGGGATGACCGAGGGCCTTCCGTGCAGAGGCCGAGAGGGCGGATGCCTTCAGAGGACATCTGTGCAAATCTTTGACTTTGTGGCATGTTCAGAGGAAGCCTTAGTGGTGGAAAGTGGGAACTTCGTATTAAAACACCCGAGCGTATTCACTTGTTTACTCTAGACAGGCGTTACTTATTTTTAAAATTAGCACTAGTTCATATCCTTTAAAATTAATTTTTAGTTAAAAAAAATAAGATTAGTTTTTAAAATCCTTTTAAAATCAAATGATAACTGTGATTGTATTAAGCCCACACGGGTATTAATACAGGAAGAAAAATTGTTTTAAATAGAAGGGTGACAGTTTCAAGACTTTGTGATAAGGTGTTTCTTTAGGAGATTAAAAAACAGATTTCCCACGTGTTTAACAAAAGGTACACTCCTGCGTCCTGGAGTCTTTTGAACAATAACATGTAAGTTGTCAAAGGAATTTGGTTCTGAGGCATTCTGGTTTTGATCGGGTGTGTCAGCAGGAGATGGGCTGTTAACAGTGTGCATTTCTGGGTCACTGCTGGGGTCAGCATCCTGTTTGGGATGCATTTCTCACAGAGGCACTTTTTTCTGCTCTTTGAAGCTCTCAGTTCCTGAATGGGGCCTGCTTTTTAGAGATGGACTCTCAGTGAGACCCTGCCGTACACCTGATCCCACCGTCCGCTCTGCGGGCGACGAGTCGCCCACTGCTGGGGCACGGGGTCCCCTCCCGTACGTGCTGGAGACACCGAGGGGAGGGGCTCTTCCCGCTGCTTCCCTTGCTGGTCCCAGAGGTGTCCAGTCTCGTTCTTCTGACCTCTAGGCCCGGGGAGCAGAGCCCTGGGGCTGCCGGCCACCCTTGGCCCCACTCTGCCTGTGGCTGCACACGTTGCTCGATGGCTCGCGAGGCCGGAGGCGCGATTTGGTTGTGTAGGTGGCTGTCCCCCTGCTTCCCAAATGTTCGCGAGCCCGTTTCCGTGGAGGGAGTTTCATGGGCTCCACACATTTGTTCTCAGACTACCCGGAAGGAGCGGTGTTGGAAGCCGGTCGGGGCTTCTGGGATACGTGAGGCTTAGCAGCAGGTTGCCGTCCTGCCCTGCCGACAGCGCCCGAGGGCCCGGGACCCGACAGGAGCGTGCATCAGGGAAACAGGTTTTGATTTGCCTTTGGGATAAAGTGCTTGTTTTAAGATATTTACAGAACTAAATGATAGGTCATCGTTTGCCTCACCGAGTTTTGAAAGTGTAAACTTTTTTTTACCGCGATGCGAGGATCCGCACAGACTGTCGTGCGGTCGCCCAGTTACGTTCCCGGGGCGGGTCTGGGAGCGGAAGAGATCTGTGTCACCATGTGGGCGGCTCCTCCAGGGCAGACACCCCGGCTACCAGGGGTGCTGGGTGTTCTGAGACTTTTTAAATGCAGAGCCCTGTGACATGGACCTTCTTCCCACGTGACGGAGCCCACAGTTTTTCTCCTGGTCTCATCCGTGTCTTCTGTCTTGATGGTGACACAGAGGCAGGGACCCTCCGCAGTGCGGCACGGGTTGCGGTGCCAGGACGCTGTCCGCCTGACTCCACACTTCACATCTAGCACTTTTCCTCTGTTATTCGAGATGATGCCTTACTGAACTTTATGAACAATTAATGATCTTAGAAATGTTATTCCATAAAGTGCAGAAAACTGAATACTCTTTCTGGGTACGAGTGACCATGTTCATTAACTGAACAGGTGGTTCTCCAGCCACAGCATCAGCATCTCGTGGGGGCCGGGTGGGGTTGTGAACAGACTGTCAGGCCCCACCCCACCCCTATGCTAGTGCCTTTCTAGCAAGTTCCCAGCAGGTGCTAGTGCTGCTGGTCCAGGACCATGGTTTTTTTTTTTTTAACTTTTTTTGATGTTTATCTTCAGAGTGATAGAGCAGGGGAGGGGCAGAGAGAGGGGGAGACACGGAATCTGAAGCAGGCTCAGGCTCTGAGCTGTCAGCACAGGGCCCGACTCCGGGCTCGAACCCACGAACCGCGAGTTCATGACCTGAGCCGAAGTCAGACGCTTACCCAGCTGAGCCCCCCAGGCACCCCAGGACCACCTTTTGAGACTCACTGAATTGGGCATTCTTCCTGTGTTGCACACCCTGGTTTCAAACACCGAGTGTGAATGCAACTCCAGGAGGCTGGGGAGACCTGCTGGGAAGGCACAGTTGTTGTTACTTTCATCTTGTAAGGAAAGGGAATTTGAGGAAGAACGTTGAATGGCTTTCTTAGAGAATGCCAACCAGCAAAAACGTATGAACAAAGTGAGGGCTCATGGGGGGTGGAGGGGAGGGAAAAAGGGGTGATGGGCAGGGAGGAGGACACTTACTGGGATGAGCACCGGGTGCTGTATGTAAGGCAATTTGACATTAAAAACATAAAATTTAGAAAAATATGCATAACAGGTGAAAAAAGCCAATTTGCTGTTTAACAGAGTAATTAAATGTGGCAGAATATAACTTCCTTTTCATTTTCTTTGATTTTATCCTTTGTTCTTGGGTAGTTACGTAGAGAAAAACTTGTTCAGAAGTGTAGCAACCTGTGGGATACGTTGGGATGTTTTTGGTTTTTCTTTTTATCCTGGTTGGGGCATTTTGGGAGTGTGTTTTACTTGAGAATAAGTAAATTAAGGTCTGTGGTTTTGGTGTAGTTTATTCAATGAGAACTTGGTAAATACCTGTCGTTTGCTGGGCGCTGTGCTCACAGTTGATGCTGGGCACTCGTGTCGTGACCCAGGCCTTGGTCCACATTCCTAGTGCATTTTGTATTTGTCTGGTTGTGCTAATCCTTCGGATCTGTGCTTCAGTGTCACAGCTCTGCCCTCAACTCATAGGGTAAATAGTGTGCCCTGTGTCATAGGTGGTTCAAGTTCATAATTACAGTTCCTATTGCAAACATTTAAAGAAGAATCCTTGAGGGGCGCCTCGGTGGCTCAGTTGGTTGAGCATCCAACTTCAGCTCAGGTCATGATCTCACGGTCTGTGAGTTCGAGCCCTGAGTCAGGCTCTGTGCTGACAACTCGGAGCCTGGAGCCTGCTTCCAAGTCTGTGTCTCCATCTCTCTCTGCCTCTCCCCTGCTCATTCTCTGCCTCTCTCTCTGTCAAAAATAAA